AAATGTATTTGATGAAAGAATCAAGTTATCCTCTTAATGATCCTAAATGAGGACCAGTGTACCTTCTCTAATTCCAGTGTAGGTATCAGTGATACCTGGTGGTGTGAAATCAGTATCATGTCTCATTGATGTCAGTATGCAGAGGGTCAGATCATCAATGTCCAAAGTCAGTACCTTTGCTCTAATTTTCATTAACCAAGTATGTGGATGCCAGCTCTTGCCGTCTGGCAAAAAATTGCTTTCTGTCAGGTTTCCTGTATTCAATAGAAATATTCATATATATAAAATGAATCAGCAGTGTGGTTCTAGGATCCTATAGCTATAAATCCATATAGCTAATTAACTTTAATTAATCCTCTAAAATCTCTCATTATAGTGAGTGATAGCAATCCTTTTTGTGTTCTTTCTTGTGCAATATTTTGTTTTTTGAGAGATTTCTCTACAGTGAAGAGAGCTAACAGCAGGTAATGCCATTCATCTCGGAAGGAGTTTAAAATTTTCAGTGTTAGTGATGAATGAGGGTATCTGACCCACATCTGTTTTACATTAGAATGGAACATTGCCCTGACATCGTTAGGAGCATTTGTCAAGATTCCCTGGACAGAGCTTCTGTAAATTACATGCTGCAAATGTGTCAGGGTCAGATAAGAGGATATCATTAACTGTGCTAAAGTTTACTCATGGTTCTGTCAGTTCAACTTAATATGTTAACTGCCAACCATTTTCCTTGAGCTGTTTCATTAAATCTTTCATTCACAGGAGGGGAAAAATAGTATCACTGTACCCAAAAAAATATTGCACATGTTCTTTTCTCATAAATCATATTAATTGCAGGCATGGTCACAAAGCATATTAAACGCAAGCATGCGTAAATGAATTAAAACATATGAGAATTTTATTGTGCCTATGGAGGGTCCTACATTCTCAAATACTAACCATGTTAACAGCCAGAATGTTTCATTTCAATAAAACAAGCTTTTTTTTTTAGTTTAATGGCCTTTATTTTGGTGATAATAGAAGTATTTTCCAGCAGCTGATAATGGACCAGACATTGTGTTCATGCCTTTAAGGCTTTCATCCCTCCAGTTCTCTTTCTTGATGGTACCCTCAGCTGGTGATTCTGTGCTGACTCCACCAGCAAGGGATTTGTCCTACTGAATATTTTAAGTTGCTTCAGATGTGTTCTAAAAACTTCTCTGCAGACTTTGGTTGTAGCAGTCCACTGTGTTCTGTTTGCTTATTCCTAATTTCACCTTTGTTTTCAAATGGAGTGATTTCATCAATTATATATTGTATTTTATTGTATAAGCACAAAGACTGTGCCTTAACCTTCCTGTGTGTGTTTTGTAAAAGGTGAGAACAAAGCATATGCAGCTAAAAACCTTAAATTTGATTTTGTTTTTTGCATTTATGGGAGTTCTACTCTAAAACAACTAGAATAGTTATTGTATCACTTTAATGGGGTGTTAGCTCAGCCCTTGGATTCTGCGTCAGTGAGGCTCATAATTACTAATTTAGCTTTCCCAAAGTGATTTAAAAGGAAGCACATATTTTCCAGTAATTTGGATGGTATAGAGATTGAATAACTTTATTTTCTACCTTAACTATTATAAAGCAATCCTACCTGTTTACTTAGAACTATTCTGCTTCATACCCACAGAAGATGTGAGCTGCAAAATCCAGATCCTTGTGTGTCTCCTGTGCAGCTAAGCTGAGGGTGCTGAGCATCTTGCAGACATGGCCCGTTAATGGATTTCTAATTGATTAGGTGAAAGTTAGCCATGCCCTTCCTGTAACTCCTTGTATGGGTGAGAAGGTCATGGCACATACCGTAGCAAAGACTCCTGCCCTGAGGCTACTTCCCTTGGAGCTTTCAAAACAGACATGACCAAAAATCGAATTATTTAGATACTAATCAACTGCAGGATGATTCTGAAGGCCTCTGAGGAAGATATTTCTGGGAACTTGGTTACTGTTCAGACTTCAGTTTTCTCCAGCTCAGAGACAGACAGCTCAGTCAGTTCAGCTCCAGAATATTTACTAGGTCTCTGTCCACTTAATAAAATTATGCCTAATTATTTTCTAATTAAAAAAAAGTTGAAGTAAATCTCACTAAATGCTAATTTTCATTTTGTCAAAGAAAAGAAATTTCAATCCAAATAGAGTTGCTAATGATGTTTGAGTGGCATTTGAGATTCTGTATGGACCCGGGTTTAAATTCCAAGACAAATCTCCAATTTTAAAATAGCTTCCAATCCGAAAGTTTTTGAGCTCACTCTTTTTGCTGGCAAAGTCCAAATAATTTTGTTTTGGGTTTTATTCTATTGAAAACATTAAATTAAAACAAACCTCTAGTTGAAATCCGCAGTTGGTAAAATAGTTATTTACCCAAATTAGCAATTGGTTCTAAAAGTGCTGGCAGCCAAGGCAGTGATGTGAGAGCCCTGAGGCAGAGAGGAGCTCCCCTGGGACATGGGGAGCTCAGCCCAGCCCCTTCCCTCTGCTCTTGAACTTGGAACAAAACCTGGGGAAGTCCTGCAAATATCGGTGTCACACTGGCCCTGCACGGCAATGGAAAGGGTTGTGCACTTGAGATTTCTGATAAACCCCTGTGCAATTTAAACTGTAGTCAAAACCATTATACTCCTGCCAACATAAATATTTCCCAAAGTAGTAATTTTCAATGTAAATGTTTAAATGTTTAAGTTATCCCTTTTTTTTTTTTTTAGTTCTTTCTCTTTTAACTCTTCTAGTGTTAATTTCAAAGGACAAGGATTAATATAACCTGAATGAACATAGGTTCTAATGCTGTCTCCTGCTGATGCATGTCAGGTCATTAGGCATGCAATATTTTGGACCATATCAAATTCCAAAGTTATAAGAAAAATACTTGGAATTTCTGGAACAGAAATTGCTAAAATAATAGAAATTTTAAAGTTTTCACAACCAATTTTTAGAACAAAAACTTGAGAGCTGAGTATTTTCAACTTTTTGGGAGTTTTGGCACAAAATGATGTACAGATAACATGATTTTTCAATCTGTGGTGATTTCAGAGTTCTTTTATTATTAACAACAATTATTATCTTTATTATTATTAATTATTATTTATATATTTATTGTTATTTATTAACCAAAAATATTATCTTTTAACAACTTTTGGGCATTGAATGTATTTGTTGAATTAAATAGAAAATATCTTACATGCTAAATCCAAATTATTCTTGTTTTTATAAACAAAAGTTTATAAAAAAACTTTTAAAAGTTGTAAGATTTCAATATCTGAGCGCAGTCTTTGCATATATTTTGGAATTTGTTTTTGCATGCATACTTCAGTTTGTGAAACATTCAGCTAATACCACTGGTTAAACTCATGTTTTTCAGCCCAGTGAATCAAAAGTGAACATTCCAGTGCTATATGTAGTAACTGAACTTCTTCCTCAGCATTTTTTTTCCAGTGAGATATCCTGGGTGCATTTGATGCAAACATATTTTGTGTTTTCAATGCAGGAATCTGAGTTTCTCTTTCTGAGCTACTCTGTTTCTACCTCTTGCTCTTTTCCTAATCAGACGTGTAAAAACTGGACACGTCTTCTTTCCTACCTAAATCACTATATCTGGATCTTGTTTCATCTGTTTATTAAGAAAAAACCTCAAACCAACAAAAAAAGCAAACAACTCAAAGCTGGAAACATAAGCTCCCTGCAATAACAGTACTTTTTAGTTTGTGATGGAAAATAAGTAAAATTTCAGGAGGAGCATCAGAACCTCAGGAAACAGATCTGGTTTTAATGAGGTTTAATTTAGTCTATAAAATATAGACTCCATTTTTAAAAAAAAACTCTCTTTAGTTTATGGCAAGAATTGCTGCAAAGCAAAATAATTATCAAATAGCACAAGTCAGATAATTGTAATGCCTTTTTGGAGCAAGAACAGCCTGTAAATCATCACAATATGCAGTTTTGGCAGAAGTTGTATGTCACCCATTTATTAGAAGCTGCAGAATGCTTGTCAGGCTCTGAAGTGCAATTTATTTCAGCAAAAAGTAAGCAAATCTCAGTCATACACTTACTTTGAAAATGTTCTACAGTGGTGTACCAGGAGAGGAAATGTTCACCAACTTGTAGTGGGAGAGATTTTTGAACAAGAAGAACTTTTCTCTGTAGTTGAAAATGCAGATGCTTTTGAAATTATTTCTTGCTCTTCTACTGGAAATGATGGCCTGGGGGGGCTGGGCTTTTATAGGCACAAGCATGTATTTTCCAGTAAACTCTTTTCAGCTACTGATTTCGTAACTGTCCCTGTAGAAGCAGTTTAATAAAGGAGTCACAGCTGACTTGAAGTTGCTCTGGAGTGCCTGAGCCTTTCTGTTGTGTCCTCTAACTCAGATGTTGGAATCAATAACTGGTGTTATAACCAGCACTTTACTCTGGCACATTCACTTCTTTACAGCAAACAGGGCATGCAGCAGTGGGGGTACAGCTGCTCTGCCCCTTTGCCTACCCCAGAACATCAGGATTCTGTGGTGTTCTTTGTTACTTCCACCAGCAGTGCTACTGGGATATGCTCCAAAGGGATTTCACTGTAATGGTTGCTGATCTTGGAGAAGAAAATTGTGTGAGCTTTTTCACAGCTTTTTATGTCTGTAGATCATGCAGGACATTATGGTTAAACTTTGTTCTCTTTTTGTTCTCTTATAAACATCTGCAGAACTCCCAGTTGGGGCTGGGATCAGGCACTCTGAAACCATAAAAGTAAAAAAAAAAAAGATTCCTTATTTGCCCCAGTATTGCTTCTTATTGCTTGCTAGCCATCAGATTTTCTTTTGGGGGATGATGCAACCAAATTCTACTTCCTCTTGGGATTAGCTACTCAAAGCACAGTTCAAGTATCAAGTCTACCTGGTTTAGGAAATCAAATTATAGATTTGAGAACTTCTGTGGTTCTGTAAGCAATGGAGTTCTTAATCTATTTTAACTCTTTCTATTTTTCTGCTTTCTAGGTAATGGGACTCCTGACTAACCACGGTGGTGTGCCTCACCAGCCCCAAACTGATTATGCCCTGTCCCCTCTAACTGGGGGCCTGGAGCCCACCACCACTGTGTCAGCCAGCTGCAGCCAGAGGTTAGAGCACATGAAGAGCTTAGACAGCCTGCCCACCTCCCAGTCCTACTGCCCACCAACCTACAGCACCACGGGCTACAGCATGGACCCCGTCACGGGCTACCAGTACGGCCAGTACGGCCAAAGTGAGTATGGCACATGGGCACTGGGAAGGGCACCCAGCTGTCCACAGCCTGAGCTGGCTGGCTGGCTGTCTGTCTGTCTGTCTGTCTGTGAGGAAGGGAGTTCTGAGCAGAGATCCTCAGGGCTCACTGCTACTTCTCCTCAAAGCCATGCACTGGTGAGATAGCTGATTGTTCGAGCAGGATTTCTGCTGCATAATTATTTTCTTAAGTGATGTCAACAACATCTTGATGTTATTAATTGTTGAGACATGAAACCTGATTGCCATTAGGTAAAACATAAGAGTTGTCCAAAATGAAATAACCGCTGGCATTTCACTATTAGAAACACATGTTCTTAATGAGGTCAGCTCAAGAATCATTACAGTATATAATCCCAGATACATAGAGTTTTGTCAAACTTGTCCTAGGAATAAAAATATTAGTCCCTTTCCTTTGATACATCAGTATTAAATATGACATTGTCAACCTGTAGTTGGCATGGCCCCATGCTGTGAGGTTGTCACAGCATGACTTAAAAAGCTTCTTTTGCTTTTTTGCAGGTGCCTTTCATTATCTGAAGCCAGATATTGCATAAATGAACTGTCCACTTCAAGTTAAAGCTGGTCTTGTTTTCCGGTCTCACTCCAAGGCTTGGATATGAGGGATCTTCTCAACACAGTGCAGCCTAAACTGGGGCAGTCCCACTGAGAGAAACAAGCTTGTTATATTCTCTCCAGTCATAGCTTTTAGTAGACTTTTGAAGGCTGGACAAAGCTATACAGAAGACAAAGGCCAAAAGCAATAATGAATAAATGTGACATGCTTCATTATGAGTGGGTATACAAAACAGAGCAGTATTTAACATCACAGCCTGGCAAACATTCCATTTTTTTGTTGTTGTTGAAATTAATGTGCATTGATTGGGACAAATGGAACATTTTGAAACTAAACTTAGAGCAGTTGAGCTCTGTGTACTCTGACTCATCTGACATCCAGTGCTGACTTTAGTCTAACTTTAAAACAGCTCAGTTTCTGAAGCAAGGTTGGAAGAGCCTCTCACTGTACACACTGGAAATTGTCATCAAGAGGAAATGTCACCGTCCCTAGGAAGTTGGATAAGTGTGAAAGACTTCCCGAGCAACTCATTGGTTACCCTGCTGTGCTTTGTAATCACCTTGTCAATAAATGTCACTCACAGGTTTGGCTTTACCAAGAGAGGAGATCTTGTGTAACATGAAACCCAGATTTTACCTTTTTGTATGTGTTTTCCCAGTGTGTTTTACCTTTTTAAACAAATATGGGAGACAAAAAACACCACCAACAACGCGACTGATTTTTCATAACTGCCTAGCAATGTGCAATACTGTGTACCTCACACAAACTTTGGGATCATCCAAAGTCATAGATATAGAATCAGAACTATATTTTTGCAGGTACTTTTATTTTTGCAGTGCATAATTCCTGATGATAAAATACAGAAATGTTGCAGTCTGCTGGATTACTGAAATCCAGCTTGCTAATCATGATTTAAAGGTCATCTTCAGGAAACAATAGGAAGAAATTACGTTTACATGTTTTTTAGTGCTGTACAGGACACAGAGATGGACCTGTATTTGAGACATCTGTTTAAATTATACAGCAATATCCAATATAGACAGTATAATTATAGGAACCAAGGTTTACAAGAAGTTTGCATCGTGACATTTTAGAATGTCAATAAATTTGTGTTTTGTGATGTTGAGAGGAAGAGGGCGATGGAAGGTGGGATTATTTATTTCTCTCTATTCTTGGAACAAAGAGGGAGGCAGAACACAAATACATTCCTTTTAGAGTTAAGGACTATGAAGTAGTGAGTTAGACTAGGTTCAGTACAGAGGTTAGTTCACACAACGGTCTTAAGGGTGATGGAAAAATGAAATTATTATCTTTGTGTTGCAGCCTCTACAACAAAATGTGTTGTAAAAAAAAGAAAAACCCAAACAAACAAAAAAAATCAAAAAAAAGAAAACAAAAAACAAATGTCTTTCATGTAAAAAGCTCAGTAAATATTTACTATTTATAATGAATAAACATTATGAAGACTTTCAAAGCACTGATGATTTTGTCCTAAAATGTAGTATTGTGATAAATACATTGATACATTTTAATCTGAATATCATGAAGAAATAAACCATGTTATCTTCGATGCAGCCTGTATTCATTATATGAGTGTATTCTGCACACATCCTGGGCTGGGGGGGCTTGGGCAGCCTCTGTGCCCAGGTGCTGCTTGTGTGCCATGTGGAACTCTGTGTGTGAGATAATAAACTTTGCATTTTCTGAGTGCTGTGGGTACCAGCAGTACATCTTCCCAACAACGGAAAAGCCCTTGCCATGCATTCAAAATGAAATAGCATAGGTTTAAACCCAGCACAAGCAGGGCAACTGGGATGGCTTCAGAAAATGCAGGGAATTTGTAATCAGTTATGGGTGGTATCTGTCCTGAATTATATTTTTTTCCCTTAGAAGCCTCAAGAATTTTTTAATAGGCCTACACACAAACTGCTTGTAACGTGGAGAAGACCCCTCAAAATGGGTGGAGTAAATTTTAGTGCCAAATCAGTGTGCAAGGGAATTTTACTTACCCTAGGCTTGGTGAGCATTTAATTTCCTCACTATTTTGTAGGGGATGTAACCACCTTTAATTTCTTTCTGCCTTTTTTTTGGTGTGCATTTTATTTTTATTTTGTTCTTTTGAGTCTAGCCCACTTCCATTGGAAAAGGAAGGAATACATTTCTTGAACAGAGAATGTTCAAGAAATATAAATGTAAATGTAAAAATGGGGAAAGGAGATTTCTTTTTTTTTTTCCTTTCCAGTTTCTTTTTCTCTGATACACTTTTTAACTTCTGAGAAAATTGAAATTTAAAACTCTCTTATTAACACATATTCCCTTCTCCAAACTTCTTTTTTTTCTGATTTTTTTCAATGTTGCTTCCCAGGACTTGGCCCTTGGCAGGGGCCTCACGTCCTTGCTGCAAAGGCCATGTAAACTATTTCCCACTTGTAATCCCTTTTCTGTAAACCACTGGATAGAATCCTGCTTGCTTGCACAGTTTGGAACCAGGTGCTCCTTCCCAAGAGGAGTGTACCCTTGTCACAGGGTGATTGAAAAATGTCACCTTCCTTTTCTGTTCCAGCAGCTGCAGGGCTGGGGGAGCTCTGATTTCTCCCCATTCCCTCAATCCCACTGACCTCACATTAGGGAATTTTGGGCATTTTAGCTGCTCCATCCTCTTCTCAAGGGTGCCCCAAGCACTTTCCCAAGTGAGAGCCTAATGCAGAGCAGGAGAGACTGGAAACAAGAGAGATAGGGAGGAAAGGCCCTGTCCCTGCCCATGGTGGGGGGTTGGAACTGGATAATCTTTAAGGTCCTTTCCAACCTCAACCATTCTATGATTCCTTGAAAATCATCCATTCTTCTCACAGTCAAGCCATGCAAGGGAGAACTGGGAGGAGCTCTTGTCATGGGAAGGGAGGAGCCTGGGCAGAGGGACTGAGCAGTATCTTGGTTTATTATGTGCTGCAGAAATCTTTGACAGAGCTATAAGGATAACTTGGGATGCTGTTGATCCATTCTTGTTATCACTGTCAAGACTGAAGAAGTTCTTGGGAACCACATTAGCTTCTGGGAAATGAATCCTGAATGCTCAGAAAGTCAAAGGGGAATGAGCCTGATATGGATATTGAATTTGACAGAAAAGCCATGCAAAAGTTGGGAGGAATGTGCTCACAGCAATAGAGTCCAAGCCCCACTCACTTATGAGTGCAGAAAGGGCAGGTCTCAGGGTCCCTCCTCTTATTTTTCTGTGTGTGAGTGTGCATATTTTACAAGATGGAAATAAATCACCACAACTGCTTAACTAACTGTCATCTCATTAGAATTGGAAGCTTTGAGAGACAGGTTTTCATAAAAAAATTTTTTCTTTGTGTCACAACCATGATTTTAAATTTATTATTAAGTCTTCCTTTATCTAAAAATGACTTCTACTCCCATCATAATACCCAGTATATGCACTTTGCCATACTTTAGTATCTCTTGCTATTCCTTTATGCAGGCATTAATGAATGAGTTAGGAAAAGAATAATTTTTAATGACACCTATTATCCTTTTCCCTAGATATTTCAGTGTTTCTTGATTAAATAAAAGCTAGAAAGAAACATTTTTCCCCAATGATCTCACAGGGTTTTCTACTCAGTATTGCTCAAAAGTCTCCATCCAAATAACAAATGCTGTTGAAGTGTATCTTTCTGGGCTACTTTGAAAGGCACAAAATGCCTATCCCAATCTACAAATCTTCACTGATAATAGCTGATTGTCCAACAGGTTCTGTGTCCTCAGAAATCTGTTTCTGCACCTATGTGGTATTAGAGTTAGGTTTTTAATTCCTAGGTTAAGGTCTGTGCAAATTCAAACACAAAATATCTGGCTACAGTTCTGTATCTCCAAAAGTAATGAAAAAATATAAAGCTGCTTAACTTTGCAATTCCAAACCCCAACCCAAATTATCACATGCTACTAATATTTTTTGGTAGCAAGGATGTCTGCATTTCTCAGAAGTATGGCAGACAGCAGCATGTAAACCATTTGTTATGTCTCAATTCTGTGCTTTATTCTCACACATTTAAGAAATGCATTATCTCTGGTTACTGCTGATGTGTAAAGCATACATTTTTGCTGTTTTAGTAACCATGAACATTCTCAACATTTGCTATCCATAAAGTTTTCTGGCCTTAAAGTTTATAAAGTGGATTACTAGAAGATACCTTTTTATGAAGTAAGAAGAAATTAATTTAAGGCAATATCAATGCGACCATCAGAAACCTGGAACAGCTTGAATTTATAAACTTTTTTGTATTGCTCACTTCAATGTTCTGCTTAATTGGAAGGAAACCTGAATCCTGATTAGAATCCCATTTAAAATTTATTTTCACTTTTCCAATAACATCTAGATATTCCCTGGAGCAACTGGAGAGTCCTAGGGTTATTTAAAGAAGCATGTGAGTTGATTTGAAGCTGTTCAAGATATTTGTCTATTGTAAAATAATAAAACTTGCAGTCTGCTTCTGTGGTCATTGCAGGTAAGAGGCCATTTGGCATGTCAGATTTTCAGTCCCAGCACTTCTGGGCAGCTCATCACAGGCTGGGAAATTCTCATCAGTTTTGGGGAGCAAAATGCCACAGCTAGAGGGTTAGTCATGTTCAAAACCTTACAGGTATTTATCATACAAACAGGCTTCAAAATCAGGATGTGTACACAGTGCTAGTGCTTGGCTCTGTTTTGCCATTGTGATTCCCACAAAAATACTTTGCAGTTTTCACACAGAGTTTAAATCTTTGCTTAGTGCATTTACATGGCCTCAGAACCAGTGGCTGATTAACCCAGGGTGTCTGTGGACAGCTTGGGCACTGCAGCATTTTGACATGCACTGTTTATTATTCAGCTACTCAGGCAATGTCATGAAAAATCATAATAAAACTAGGAAGACACATCACATTTGACCTTTGCTGAATAATTTAATAAAGCCAGCTTGATACACAAATATGAAAGAGCAG